GTGTTAACCACCATCTACTCTAAAAGGTTAAGCTATTGGAGAGGGTATAACTTAAATATTTAAATCCTTCAACACTTCCCCTAGATGGACCAAGCCTTGGCCTAGCATTCGCATTTGCAGGAGCTGGAGTAGGGTGACCGTGTAGATTCCAACATGTTTCCTTAGTGTGGCGCGTATGCCCAACAGTGATCCCACCTCAATGTGCTCTTGTCATCCTACTTCCCTCTTTTTGGAGGATTGGTCTTGTTCCACTGTTGTGTGGCAAGAGCAAACCTCTCAGACAATGTACTTCTAGCTTAAGCCTAGTGTATATAGGTGCAGACATAGCCTTCATTTTACTCTCTTCAGCTTGAATATACGAAAACACATCTCTAACAGAAGCAGGGGTTGGATACCTGCCAAACACTTGTACCTTGACATGCTCGTTTCTCGGATGCAGACCACCCAAGAACTTATAGATTCGATTCCTCTCTACCATAGCACGAAATGCTTTAACATCATTTGCACACAGGTGATGTAGTCTTGGTAGTGATCTAACTCTTCCCATTTACCACGTAGAGTGTGGTAATATGTAGCAAGAGTTTGGTCTTCTTGCTTAAATCTTGAAATCTATTGTTGGAGTTCATACAGTTTTGCAAAATTACCAATCGAGGAATACGTCTCTTCCACAGCCGTCCATAGCTCTTTAGCTGTTTTCATAAACAGAAACCCTTTACTGATTTATGGCTGCATTGACTACAACAACGACGTTATATCTAGTGCATTATTTGCACTCCACTCCTTGAATTTAGGATCACTCTTGGAGGGATACGTGACAGTCCCTTCGATATGGTCGATCATCCTACGACCGGTGATATGCATACGAGCAGATTGAGCCCACTCCATATAGTTCGTCTCATCCAGCCTAACAATCGTAATACAAAGGTCCGAATGGTGATCACTACTACCTCCCAATACTGGAATCAAATTAGGAGAAGACCCAGCTTCTTTTGAAGTCACCTCTGAGCCAAACATTTTATCAAACAGTTTATGGGTATACAATCCTCAGAAACAAAAGCAGCAACGAAATCCGTAGAGAACCACCTCTCTAACACGCAAACTTCAACTAGAAAGATTACCGTCTTCTAAGAGGCATAAAAAAGCAACCACACAATCACCACACAAACCTTAGAAAGCAACAAAGTAGACCATACCAGAATCGCGAACGAAGAAGAAAAAGCCGTTGTTGTAGAACCACGCAAACACGAAAAAAACACCAATTGAGATTGTAATAGATCAAAAACAGGTCCAATTTTTTTTTTTTTTTTTTTTTTTTTTTTCCCTACGTGTGGATGTGATTAACACTATCTTGCAAACAAATCCCATCTTAGAATCTCTTCAAAACCCTTCACACCCACAAGGGTTTACACAAACTTGCCCTAGGGTTTCAACTACACACCTAGAGCTTAACAAATCATGCTCTGATACCATGTTGACTTTAAGAGATAATCAAATCAAGAGTAAAGTATAAGAAGAAGAAGAAAAAGAGAAGAAAGAGGATGAGAGAAAAATAGTGAGAGTTTGGGGAAAGAGAGAGAGAATACTTTCATCCTTCTACCACATTCTATTTATACTAACAAGTTTCAGAAATTAGACATAAGCCCCAACATTATATAAGTAATAACAAAGAAGCCCCTGACAACACTTGGCCTACACACTCACTAGCAACCAAGACCGAGTCCAGAATCTGACGCCCTCCAATGAAAGCATTCTGGGATTCCGATATCACCTCGTCTAAAACTCTCCTCAAGTGGTTGGCTAAGACCTTGGCAAAGATCTTGTATACAGCACCAACCAAGCTAATAGGTCTAAAACCTTTTGCCTTGACAGCTCCACCCTTCTTAGGGATTAGGGTGATGAAATAAGCATTGAGGCTCTTCTCAAAATGACCATCTGAGTGGAAAGCACTGAGAGCACCCATCTCCTCTGTCTTCACCACCTCCTGATTATGTTGGGAAAATGCCAAAGTGAACCCGTCCAGCCCTGGAGCTTTGTCACCATCACAGCTCCTCAAAGCATCCAGGACGTCCTCCTCCCCAAACGGCTTCCCAAGCCAATCCCTATCCTCACCTTTGATCCCTGCAAAATCAAGCCCATCAAGTCCTAAGTGTGATGTTAATGGAGTTCTAAGAATGATTTGTAAAGTTACTTCTTTTATTTTTCTGCTTCTATGCTTTAAACACAACGACAAGATCTGTTGAACCCCTATCGTACAGCTCAAGATTCTACTCTTACATTTAGGGGGAAAAAAACACTAAGATTCTACTCTTACTACCCAAACTCCTCGCCTAATTAAACTATTCAACCTTTAACACTTAAATGCACCAAAGCCCATAATAACTATCAAGCCAAAAGAACCCCAATATATATATTTTTCTTTCTTGCCTAATTTAATCCATAAATCGTTAACCCTTTTTTCCACCCTTTATAACTCCTAGAACCCCAAATTGACACTAACCTTTAACCAAAAAACCAACAATATGCCACCCTAAATGACTTTCCTTAATGCTGTTGCACATCAACCTCGTTATGGCTGAAGACCTAGTAACTCACATATTTGAAATTAGATGTCTAAAAACAGAAATTTAATTGAAGCAGTAGACCTTATGGAGTAGGGATGTTGAGGTGAATGATGAACCTTTCCAGAACTAGCTAAGAAATTACTAGCGTCCATCTCTCTTCCAATCTTGATATAATCTAATTCAACACTTAATTCTGAATTAATTAACTGATCATTTAATTGAGTGGTTCGCTAATGCAATTTGGATTTCACTTAAAAAAATAAGATTCGTTTTAAATGGGGAAAAACTTTTTAAGCGGGGAGACTTTACACTGAACCATCCAGGAAAAAAGAAAAGACTTTACACTGAATATTCAAACAAATTTCATTGGAATCCTTAATTTACAATTAACACTTAAAATTCAGTTCTTAAAGTCTTTAGGTGTTAATTTTAAGTTTAATTAAACAGTACCAAATATTTGGTGACAAACAGAAAATTGTAAACTAAGCACTTAAGTGCTAATTATAAATTAAGAATTTCTTTCATATTTTTTGAATTATAAGTGTAGTGTTCAGTGATAAGTGGAGTCTCACACTCAAATATTTTACTCCATTATAAGTGGACTTACTGGTTTTAAGTGGTATTTATATTGCATTATTAAACACACGTAATTGAGTAAGTAATAATTTATTCAGAATTAAGTTATAAAGCAGCACTGGAGTTATCAATTTAATGAGATTCTCTACTTCTACTCATCGAACAAAAATAATAGAAGAAATTTTCTGCTTCTAGAAGATCTGGCTAATGCGGGTGTGACTAGAATCTTGCTCCCAAACACCACAGTTGTCTTCAGTTAATTCCTTTAGATCAACATTATCACCCTTAGGATTGCTGTGTATGGAAATCTGGAGTTAAACACTCTTGCGATGGCATTCCTAATTGTGGTATCATCTCTATTATGTATGGTCTGAATTATATAATGATAATCAGCATTTGTGTTCTGTTATTCGTTCTCTTGACATGAGGAAAGAGAATAAAGAAATAATGTATAGATTTTGAGTTAGTTGGTAAAGCTTACTGTTATAGAAAGTTTTCTTTATTGTATGATTTAAGAAGCCCTCAGTACTTACCTGGGAAAAAAAAACATAGTAAATACAATGTGGCACAACAAATTAAAAAGAATAAACCAAAAAAAAAAAAAATCCTTTCTGGTGGGGTGCGCCAGCCAAGGCAATAGTGCGACGCCAAGGGGACGCAAGGACCCTAGTAGCAAGCTACTGTAATGGGTCCTTCCCCTCCAAAAATTAATTCTAATATCATGTGGGCCATTGACCCACGTATCAGTTTGAACAAAGAATAAATCAATTTGTGAAGTCTTGATATTAATTTTCATAGTTTTTTATTTTCCCTTATATTGATCTTTCTTGATCATGAAAATTTCCTTTCCTCTTCTTTTCATTATGGGATAATCCTATTAGGTGTGTCCAATTCTTTAGATCTAATGTTGCAAGGCAAGATAATGCTAGAAGATATGGGAAAAGATCAGTTTTGGAATTTTGCTAGTTGTGGAGTTGGCGCCTCTAAAGGAAAAGTTCTGATTTAAGGTATTGGCCATCAAATAGTTGTAGCTGCATAAGCATTAATACGAGCTATGGGGCTTTTTTGTGGGTTCTAAAGGATGGTGCAAGTAGCTTGATCTAATGATTGATGGACTTGTTCCGTCTTTACCATATACATCAACCTTGGGACCAGCTAACTGGTCCAGTATGCAACTCTAAATCTGGGGTCCTGCCACTTCATGTCCCTTTAAACCAAAGTAGGCAGGCCTGCTTTGATCAATTCTAAAAAGTTTGGTATAGAGGGTGAGATAGGTTTCTTTGATCAATGGACTTGTTCCACTTATAGGATCAACAGTGCAAAAAGATCGTTGTTACCAATTTGCCATTGATTAATGCCATTTTTTTTCTTCAAAATTATAGATGAATTGAGTTCTGAGGATTGAAGGTTTGCGAATAACTTAGTCAGACCCTAGGTGATTGTCGGAATTATAGTGGAGGTTGATGAGTGGATAAGGAGAAACTGAGGCCTTTTATGGCACTCTAAATGGCATCAGAGTAATAGCTAGAGGCTGAAATATTTTTTTCCTCAAATTTGAGATAGTTGCATTATAATGGGAAACTATCTTCGCACTAAATCTACCCTACGGTTTGCTTCATGTCATCCTTTGAACCCAGAGCATTTTATACTCTATCTTACTCTTCAAATTAGTTTCTTTGTCACACTAAAGCGTAATGACCTTGTGCTTGTGTTTGATGGATGAAAATGAATTTCAATAACTGCCTCTAACTAATATTTTTTATGCTTCTTGTTTTTATGATTGGAAGGCTTTTACATACGTCCTCCACTTACTATATACTTGGCAGAGGATTTAACTGATCAAATGTGAAACTGTTTTCACAGGTGGCAAGACTACAGGACCAGTTGCAGAAGGAGAGAGAACTAAAGGCCGTGCTTGAAGCTAAAATGTCTCACGGGCCCTTATTTTCTTCATCTACCATTAATGAGAAGGTTAGTCAATCTTAGAATTACTGTTTTTATTGGCTTTAATCGTGCAGCAAATTACTAACTTGCAAATATGGTAAAGATGAAGGCAGAGCTTCACGAGATTGGTCAAGTGGAGGCTGATCTCGTCAATTTGCAGCAGAAGGCTGATTATCTTGAAGTGCAGCTTAATCATCAACGTGAATATAACTATAGTTTTATGCATGTCTCATGCTATCAACCCCAACAAAATCATCAAGCAAAACTGTAAGCTTTGTTATTTATTTAAATACAATATGCATTGTACTTCATCCCTCCACCCCAGCCCCCAGCCCCTTTTCAGTCAGATCTTATAAATGGATTTAACGTATAAAGGGTGCTCATATTTAAGTAATTGCTAGTTCTAAATTTGTTTCCTCATTCTTTTAAGCCTCAATTTGTTTACAGGAAGGATGAAGAGGACATTGAATTTGTAGCTACTTCACGTACTCCTGAAAGGTCAACAAGAAATAAGGTAAGCATTTCATGTCTGCACCACTTTCATTAGTGGCTGAAATAAGGCCTTCTTACTTTTGTTAAAAAGTTTTACTTTTCTATTAATAGACAGAAAATTTATATAAGTATATAATTTCCAGAAGCTAAATTACAGCCTGAAATTTCAAGGTTTTGGTTGAAACTTTAAATTTCTGGAGGTTTTGGTGGATTTGGCTTTGGGACCTTCTCCAGTGAGTCCCTCTCTTGTTTGGGTAAGTGACCAACAAATTCAGTCCATCTCGGCATTATAAATGGATCAGGACCATCCAACTATCGTCTGAATAGGTTTTAGATCTGCGATCCTAACTTATCAAAAAGAAACAAAAGAGTGACACTTTGTGGCTGTATAGCAGGATCAATTGAATCGAGAGTCAAATTAGGATTCTACAATACCTTTATCCTTTAGGGATTCCATAAAGATTCTACCCTTTGGGATTTTATGCGGGATCTGGATCAATTCAGTACTTTTGGATCATAAATAGTAGGTTCATAAGATCCGGATTGGGGTTTTAGAAACCATGGTGCTGCACCAGAATCCTACTGGGATGAACTAACTATATAATATATATTTATATATATATATATATATAAGTCTTTGTCTATATATTTATATAAATAACGTAATATATTCTGCAATATCAGTTGCGTAATGCAACTATGCTATGTTTTCCAAAATTAGTTTACTCCTTTATTTTGAGTGAGCAATATGCCTTGAAATATGTACTTTGTAAACTGTATAATAGAGAAAAACTTTCATTATGTTATTGCAGCTTATACATGTTAGACTTAAAGAAAATTTCATGCATCATTCAGGTAAAAAACGAAAAGAAAAGAAAAATGCCTTTTTGTAGGTTATTAGGCCAGATTAGCACACTTCTTAAATTTTCAACCTTTTCAATTCTGAATGAACTGTGTTTAATGATTTTAAAAATCGTGAACAAAAAATTGCTAGATCTCTTAGTATTTCTTTTTCCTTTTAAAGTTAGTGGGCCTCACCTTGAGTGCCATGATGTATCAAACATTGGTATATTTGTTATTGTATTTGTTCATCATTTCTTTCATTTTGAAGGCCAAAGGATTCTTTTGAGGATCATTTTTATTTTCAATGTAAAACTCAACTCATTCCAAATGCAGCAGATGAAATATATATATATATATATATATATATATTAACATCACTATATATTTATGCACATATCAACCCCAGAAACTTTAGTGTGATATTTGGGGCAAACAGTCTATCCTCAAGCTTTGATCAAGCTGGGCCCGAGCTCAACTTACCATCTTTAGTTAAGACAACCGCCCTCTGCCGCCGAGTGGAAATTTGTGTTTTTGTGTGCGCGCTGTTGGGTGTGGGGAAAAGGGGCTTGAACTTGTTTACTTATGTAATTGAGCTTTTGAATTAACACGTTTCAGTATGCTATCTTTAAGAGTGCAAATGGACCTTTATAACATTCTTCCAGTGCTTACTAAATTCTTATGTCTACTTGCTGGCTTAGATATCACCTTTAAATCTTCCTTTCTGGGATCTTTTCCGAGTAAGTTGGCATTTGTTGCTACAGATGCACAATGCCTGTTTCAACTGGTAACTTGAGCCTAAACATGTTGAACCTGACATTGCTAAAGCTTGGCACAATGCCTACAGATGAACTTGGGCTTGATTGATACTCCAGTTTGATCTCGACTTAATATGGTGGGTGAATGAGCCTAAATGAGCTTCTTGAAATGCCCGAGCTGCTCAAATGGCTCTATTCATTCATCAATGGGTGTGAACACTACATGGATTTGATTTTTTGTGTTCAAATATCAGTTTGGATGGAGTGTGAATGCCTTTTAGTTTCATTTATTGTCATAGAGTTTGTATATAATTTAATTCCCAAAACCACCGTCTACATTTTTATGCACAGCAAGATAATTATTTGTACAAATTAGAGAGTGACAAAGATATGAAACAGGAGACTCCATCTTTACCAGATATACATCAACCTTGGGACCAGCTAACTGGTCCAGTATGCAACTCTTAATCTGGGGTCCTGCCACTTCATGTCCCTTTGAACCAGCAGTAGGCAGGCCTGCTTTGATCAATTCTAAAATGTTTGGTATAGGGGGTGAGGTAGGTTTCAATAATTTGCCTATGCCAGTTCTTTATTTTTTTCCTGTACTTCTTTAGATGTACGCTTTGGAGAATTGATTGGTTTACAGACAATACACTGATTGATGGAATAGGTGTCTTGTTTGTCATATGATTAAAACAATTTTACTTCGTATTTATTGAGTTTACAATTGAGTCCGGATCCACCCCCTTCCCCTTTAAAAAGTCATTTTGTTGCTTTATGTGATCAATTTCTAGAGTTTCACTAAACGATAATACTATTATTTGGTTCCAAAAGGAGGGACTGGATTGGAGTGGGAGATCTGATCTTCAAGGATAGGTTTGTGCCTGTGCAAATAATTAAATGAATGCAAAATCAAATAATTTCATATGGTTATTTCATTTCCTCCATAGATATTTTGCTTATTTGCTCTTCAAGTGTCCAGATCTGTAAGAGTGTCTCCATCTTCAAAAGTAAGTAGGACCGATTAAGTTACGTTAACAACACTTCAGCTGTGTGCATGACAGGGTGCCGGTGGCAGTGCCAGTTCTACGACTTCAGCACTTTCAAAACTAACAAACAGACTCAACTTCTTGAAGGAACGACGTACCCAAATTACAAATGAACTTCAAAATTTGGACAAAGGTCGGAATTCAGGTCAACCTGTCCAAATCGTTGAAAGAGGTCAAGGTTCAGAATCTCGAGGATCATCAGGTCAATCCTCGGAGAGAGGCAGAGGATTTGACAGCGGCCAGTCTCTCCAGAACCAAGAGAAATGTGCAGCAACAGAAGGCCAATTGGTCCAGAATACGGAAACAGTTAGAAAATCAGATGGCCAATCACTCCAAAACCTGGATAAATGTAGAAGATCAGAATCCGTAACAGTAGCCCTAGACAAAGGAAAATCAGAAAGCTTTCCAAGTGCAAGCAAAGGTCGAGAAGGCCAATCTCGCATGCAAACACCAAGGACATACTCCAGATGATGCAAGGTCTGATTTTGCTCTTTTGGCATTGTTTCTGCATACAACAACAACATGACCTATCTCATCGACTATTTAGGTCTTGGTAGGAACTCTAAAGAATTGATTCTGATGTCCATATTTATGGTAAGTGCTGCTGAAGTTCATACAATGCCAAGGATGTATAGATCATCTAGTCTTCTGTAAGTTGATAATTTGAAAATCCTGATTGTTGGGTTTCTCTAAGTAAAGGTCATTTCCGTAATTTGTCATTATCAATGTGTTTTTCGTTGGAGTTGGTCTAAAGCTTGTTAAGCCCAATGGATGCTGTATTCAGATCTTGGTTTCAAGTCTCCTCCAGTGGAGCTTGAGCACCTTCACTTGATTACCAAAGGAGAGAGGTTTTGTCATTCAAATGTAAATGAAATGGGTGGGATAAAGTTGTTATTTGTTGAGTTAACCTGTTGGCCAATTGTGGAATTACTTTTGCTTGAAAGTGTCAATATTGCACCTTTTTCATCCCCATCTGCATATCTAATTATTACACTCAGGTTACGACCGAGTCGCACTTTTACCATGTTTTGGAGTACTTAATTGGTGGTTTGAATTTAGAATTGGAGTAAATTTAGTTAAAAATTTGAACTAAATTTTCTTTAATTCAATATTTCAATTATTAAATGGGTCGAGGTTAAACAATTTCACAATTTCTATTATGACGGAATCACACTTTTGCTATATTTGGGAGCACTGATGGTGGTTTGGATTTGATTTTGAAGTAAATTTACTCCAATTTAAAGCTCCAATTCGGTTCTTCCACATGCAATATTTCAATTATCAAATAGGTGAGAGGTTGAACAATCTATTAATCTTGATCAAACTCGATTTTATTAACTTTTAAATATTTTAGGGAAACTCATTTTCGGTAGACAAAACCCATTTTCTTAGACAATTTTATCTTTTTTTATTTTATTTTTATATATAAAGGTAATTATACTTATTCCTTTATAAATTTATACTTATTCCTTTATAAATCTGTCATTGTCAAATATGGTCGCTGTGAACGAATATTATTGTAAGATTAGGATTTTTTTTAAATGTAGTTGATAGGGAAAAATATAAACCTACCCTTCTCTCGATAAGATTGATTAGATTTTCATTATCAAAGATAATGAAATCTGACGTGGTTCAACAGGTAAGAATAATCCTATTATAACTGGAAGAGGTCAAAAGGATTAAATCATATCCCCGACAAATCTGGCAACAAATCTCCTATGATTTTGCACAAGTGGAAGAAAAGATCAACCATCGACATTGGCGGAACGATTTTGATTCCAATCGACAGCCATAAATAGGGCACCAAGCTATTAAAGAAGGTACGACGTAAAAACTATTATTAAGCCTTGCCTTCTTTTTAGGCTTCCGTGACTAATTTGATCGTCGGAGAGCTCATGGCAGGCACCATACCGGTGCCGTCAAGGTTCATCGATCTTCTCCTCTCTTTCTTGTAGGAAAACGGTATCGTATTGGACTGCGCGAATTTCAGCCTCAACAGTTCGCGCCGTCTGTGGGAATGACGATTCCCTTAAATGAATTAATTACTCGTTGGGTATATACATTTGCAGTCCGGTATGGTTACTGAAGGAACACCGACGCAGGGATCTTGTCAAAGGGTAGAGTCGGGTGAAAACCTGTACATCCCAAACTACCAGGCACGGTTTGCAGCGTTGGAACTGCAGGTTCAAACTCTGAGTCAGGGTATGAACCAGTTGATCCAGCAAAATGCAATGCTCTTGCAACACCTTGTTCCACCGGTTCAACAAAACTTTCCAGGACATGATCTCTTAAGTCCAAACGGAGGTAATGGGAATCTTGAAGAGAAGGATAATCATCCCCCCCAAAATGAGACTGAAGTGGAACAAAGTTAGGTGGGAACCTGACATAGAGAGGTGGTTCACCCATCTCTCCCACGGAGTTCCCGACCTCCTAAAAGTATAGCCTTCTATCTTAAGGAAAAGACAAAGAAAGTTACCCATCTCGACTTGCAGATCAAGGATCTCAAGGGAAAAATGGAAGATGTAATGTAGGCTATGAAAGGGAAAGGTCCTGCCGCCGTAGATGACCTGGTACAAAGGATCAACCTGCCTTTCAGCCCCGTCGTTATGAAATGTCCACTACCTAGCAAGTTCAGGTTGCCCTCGTTTGAAAGCTTCGATGGGACCAAAGATTCCCTCGATCACTTGGAAACTTTTCAAGCTTTTATGCATTTACACGCTGTGCCAGATGAAATCATGTGCCGAGCTTTTCCTACTACACTTAAGGGATCAGCGAGAGTTTGGTTCAACAAGTTGAAGCCAGGAACCATCAACACCTTCGAAGAATTGAGTAAGCAGTTTGTGAGCCACTTCATTACAGGTCAGAGGCATAGGAGGCCGGCTACCTATCTGTTTACCGTGGAGCAACAAAAGAAAGAGTCGATTCGGGAATACATCACCCGATTCAACGCAGAGATGTTGCAGGTAGAAGAGGTAGACGACAAGGTAACTTTGACTGCTTTCATAGGAGGACTCCAAACCTCCAGATTCTTGTTTTCCTTATCAAAAGAACCTCCCACCAGCATGATAGAGTTGCTGGTCAGAGGGCAAAAACACATCAACGCTGAAGACACCATGAGTGCACGGAAGGAAGGAAGAGGCCAGCCCCTCTCGCCAGGGATGAAAATAATACCAAATATAAGAAATCGTTCTTCAGCCAGAGCGACAGCACATATCATGAGAATGACTCAGATGAGTATATCGATTAGAAATTGTCTCACGGCTGGAATTAGCCTTATCAAGTCATTCATAATAAAGACTGGGGGCATCTTAGTTAATCATTTTAAATAGAGGGTAGCTCCATCACGTGTTATTTTGTTTTTAATAAGCCTTGAGGCAATGATGGTCTTTAATAAAATTCCTTTTAGTTTATACGTGCAGTATCCTCGTACTATAAGGGATAGTAAATGAGTGTCCTATATTACAAGGACCCGGATTGAGTGAATTCTGTAATCTGTATCCCCGTACTATAAAGGATAGTAAATGAGTGTCCTGTATTATAAGGACCCGGGCTGAGTGAATCCGTACCCCCGTACTATAAGGGAATAGTAAATGAGTGTCCTGTATTACAAGGACCCGGGCTGAATGAATCCCATAATCCATATCCCCATAATATAAGGGATAATAAATGAATGTCCTGTACTACAAGGACCCGGGTTGGATGAATCCCGTAATTAATATTCCCTTAAAATAAAATAAAAATTCTTTATTAAAGAGGTGAGTTGAGTAAAACTCGTAAAGTTCAATTCCCTTATTAAGGAGTGAAATTCATACAATTTATTTCCTTATCAAAGGAAGAGTATTGTTCCCTCGGGTGGCAAAAAAAAAAAAAAAAAAAAAATTCCTGAGTTACTATTCACGTGAATAGTGCCGCGGGTACTGTTCACAGGGGTATCAAAAAAAAAACTATTCATGAACAGTATTGTAGACACTAAAATTTTAGTGAACTTTAATTTGGACAAATAGACCCATTAAATATGGGCCCAATGTTTAATTAAGTTATTTAATTGGCCCAAGTATGGTCCACTTAAATTATTTAATTAAGCCCAGTCTAGAGTCTAGATAGTCAAATAAGAAGAATAATTATTCCTAATAAAATATATTTGGAATAATTATTTTTAAGGATAATTATCATAATATATCCGGCCCGGCCCAATTATAGTTTTTTTTCCTTATCAGGAGATGACACGTGTCATCATCCTATTAATCCAAGAAGCCTATAAATAGAGGCTTGGAGGAAGAAAAAGGAGAGAGGATTCAGAATTCAGAAGTCTACAAATTCAGACACAAATTCAGAATTCAGAAGTTCAGAGACTCAGAAATCCAAAGACTCAGAATTCAGACACAAATTCAGAATTCAGAAGTTCAGAGACTCAGAAATCCAAAGACTCAGAATTCAGACATAAATTCAGAATCGAAACCCAAAAGCGAAGAACATCAAGCACATCCAACAACGTGCCGTTCTTCATCAAATTCCACATTGATTCAAGAACAAGCTCGTGCAGCCCTTGGATCCAACCAACCAAAAACAAGGAGATCGAATCAGAGGACCATTCTTTTTTTGTAAAAAGATATTACAAAGGACTGTACTCCACATTCATAAATTAATAAAATTCTATTTGCTCCATATTTTATTTCTATTGCAGACTTACAAAATTTGTGTGTACAAATTTGTGGCACGCCCGGTGGGACCACCTTTGCCTCTCATCTCTTTCTCCTACCATCAAGTTTCTTCTCTATCAGATTCTATGGCTCCCCCTAAGATTCAGACAGACAAGAAAGCCCAAAAGAACATCACTATTGCAAAGGTCGACGCTAAAGCCACCATGAAAAGTGGTACGAAGACCAAATTAAGCGATGGAAGTACCTTGACGGGCCCTGTGACACGTAGCAAGTCCCAGGCGATGGCGTCATTCGAACTTCAGCAAGATGTGGTGAAAACTAATCCTGCAACACCGGCGAACGTGAAAACTCAACATGTCAAAAACCTTGACATTATTCCAGAAGAGGCTCCACCACCAAATTCACTTCGTTCTATCTATGATGCTCACTCTAGTCTCGGTTCACCCCCAGAGTCACCACGTCCGACTTCGGAGCAATCAATCACTTCAAGGAACGTGGATTCTCAAGGCCTATCATACTCAGATGTGGTTGCTGCAATGATGACTGGAGCTGCTACGGTGGAGGAACAACTAGCAACTATGGCTCATTCCATTGAGAACCTCACAAAGACTATTGAAGAAAAGGACTTGCAAATCGCTACACTAATGAATAAATTGGAAGTTCAGACCTTCGGTGAAACACCAATGCCATCCGGGAATCGTGCAACTTTCACACCACCACCGTCTGGGAAACCTACATCTTCTACAGCAATACTAACGGAGAATCCTAATTCTATAGCACAAGGTACTCACAGGGAGAATCCCAAACAGACGCCGGTGACAGAACAAGCGACCAGTCAAAACCAGACGCTGGGGATAGAACAGGCGACTGGTCAAACCAATCATACCTCTTCTTCAGTCTCTTCATTATCTGTCGAACAATTGCAAGATATGATAACGAATACAATCCGAGCTCAATATGGTGGTGTCTCACAGAGCACTCTCATGTACTCAAAGCCCTATACAAGGAGAATCGACAGTATGAGAATGCATGTAGGATACCAACCTCCGAAGATTCAGCAATTTGACAGAAAAGGTAACCCCAAGCAACACATTGCCCATTTTGTCGAGACTTGTAACAATACCGGAATAGAGGGGGACTTACTAGTCTAACAGTTTGTCCGGTCCCTTAAAGGAAACGCGTTTGAGTGGTACACTGACCTAAAGTCAGAATCAATTGATAGTTGGGACCAGATGGAACGAGAATT